GAGCCTCCGGAGCCAGCCAGGCCTCCCCGCACTGCGCCGCAGCACGCATCCCACTCCCCAGCAGCACGGTGGGGGGGGACCGCACTGCGAGCTGTTTCCAGCCTGCGGTAAAGCCCCCAGCGCCCGCCAGGGACAGGGACAGGGGCAGCCTGCACCTCAGGCCCAGGGGGAGCCTCACCGATCCCCTCCATGAACGCGGGGTACAGCCGGTCTGTGAGCAGCGGCTCGGGGAGCTCGCGGAAGTACAGCTTCAGCGTGCCCGCAATGGCGTTGATGTCCATGTCGCTCAGCATCACCAGGATGTCCTTGTTATCTGCCGGGAGGAACACGCCACAGGGACAGGGGCAGCCTGCACCTCAGGCCCAGGGGGAGCCTCACCGATCCCCTCCATGAACGCGGGGTACAGCCGGTCTGTGAGCAGCGGCTCGGGGAGCTCGCGGAAGTACAGCTTCAGCGTGCCCGCAATGGCGTTGATGTCCATGTCGCTCAGCATCACCAGGATGTCCTTGTTATCTGCCGGGAGGAACACGCCCCAGGCCATCAGGACCCCAGCCCCGTGCTGCCCTGGAGCCCCATGCGGCAGCTGAGCAGGCTCCCGAGTCCCACCAGCTCCAGGGGCGGACACTAAACTCCGGCACTCAAGGCTCCGGCCAGACACGTGGCTCTCGTCGCGAGGCAACGCTGCCCAGTGGCTAGTGCACAGCTCCGAGACAGCCCTCTGTGCGCCCCCCCTCCCTCCAGCTGGGACTCAGCACTCACCGCCCTGCCGGGGCACTGGGCAAAGAGTTATTCTCCCATTTCCTGCCCTCCCCTGCTGCACGGTGCTCCTGGGCGTTGCTGCGCTCCAGCCCAGAGTCAGCTGCATGGCAGGGCGGGGGGAGGGAGCAGTGCCTTATTTGGGGCTGCGCCGTGCTGCCCTCTAGTGGTGGAGAGCAAAGGGGCCAGAACGGGTGTAATCTTGAATTTTGCTGGCACCCAGGCCAGCGCCAACGAATGTTGCTGTGGTGGTGTTGGGCCAGTGGCCAGGCAAGGGAACAGCCAGCTCCGCTTTGGGGAAGAACATGCAAACCTCTGGGGGGTCTGCTGGAGCCTGGCTCCTTGAGAGCAGGCTGCAAGGAGACCCCCAGGGCAGGACACAGCCAGGCTCCTGGCTCCATCCTGTGCCCTGCACAGCCGGGAGGAGAGCGGGGTAGGGCCCGGGGCGAGGGAGAGCAGCCAGGTGCCTAGGCTGGGCAGTGCTGCCCAGTGCCCGTAGCTTAGCTCGACCCAGGAAGGGCAATACCCCCCCCCCCATGCTCCCCTTCCCAGAGAACTCCGGTTTCAGGGCTCGTTTGCCTCAGGGCTCTCCAGCATCCCAGCAGAGGGGCTGTGAGCCGGGCGGCCTTGCTTAGCCTGCTGGCTCCCTCCCCCTGCCACCACCAGCCTGTGCCCCCCACGCCCAGCTTGGCAAGGAGGGGGCGCAGGGTTTCATACACCCCCAGGGCAGCCCTGCTGGCACCAAGGAGCTGTGCGGGGCTCACTTGCGTCGAAGGCTGCCTTCAGCGCCTGGATGTCCGTGGCGACCCCCGAAATCCGGTAGATGCCAACCTCCTCGATGCCTCTCTTCCCCCTGCCACCACCAGCCTGTGCCCCCCACGCCCAGCTTGGCAAGGAGGGGGCGCAGGGTTTCATACACCCCCAGGGCAGCCCTGCTGGCACCAAGGAGCTGTGCGGGGCTCACTTGCGTCGAAGGCTGCCTTCAGCGCCTGGATGTCCGTGGCGACCCCCGAAATCCGGTAGATGCCAACCTCCTCGATGCCTCTCTTCTCCACCTCCTCGACACACTGCCGCACAATGTAGGGCACCTTGGAGCGCTCCCGCCTGGTTGGGAGGCAGAGCAGTGCGCGTGAGATCGGCAGGCCCTGCTCTGGCTGCACCCCCCCCCCTCCGCTCGGGGCACAGCCAGGAGCAGCTGGCAGATCGGATGGGGGGGGGCAAGAGCCCAGCCCCCCAATCCTGGGCCATGCTTTGGGTTGGCAGGTGGAGAAGGGACTCGGCTTCCGGAGAGGCACCAGGGC